CGATAGCATTATCAGGCTGATTCATGTCCTCAGCATTGTTATCGACAGCATCCTGACTACCGCGCTCGTCATCGCCATCGTGGTAGTCACGCGTTGGCGCGGTCTCTCTTTCGCCTCTTCCCCCCCCCTCTCCAAAATAGCGCTGAAAAAAAATACTCGTCATCACCCTGGGCGGCATCGCCGCGGATTCGAAAATGACGGCGGCGGCAACGACGTCGACGCCACCCTCGCGGCCGCGATATCGATCATCCACGTTGCGCCCCGTCGCGCGGATCGCCCCCCAGTCGAGCATCCCTGCCTCGCCTGAGTAATAACATCACGTTGAAAGACGCCTGGCCAGGCGTACTCCCGCTTCGCTTGTGAGATCGGTGCCGCCACGCTGTGGTGCCCGCCGCGGATGCGCCGTGGATCTGACAAAGGGCTTGCGTCTCCCTGCTAACGGAGTGGCGAGCGCGCGACCTTCCTGCCGCCCAGGCTCTGCGTTGCTCGCTCGAGCTCTCGCGGTCCTCGCCCCTCCCGCCCCGCGCTCGCCCTCGCAATGGCGTTGATAAAATGTTAAGCTTCGCGCGCGCCGCCCCGCCCGCGTTTCGCCCTGAGACATCCTCAACACATGTGTATAAAACGCGCGTTTCGCTAGGGACATCCTCAATTTGTCCACGCCGAATGGGACTTTACCTCCGTATCTATCGCAAACTATGTCGCCAGCTGAAGCGAAACTAAATTAGCCTGGCGAAGGACCCAACCATATGCAGTTGTGAATGCCGCAATTGTGCTGGGCGGTGGCGGACGCATGCGGGCGGTGCCACTGGGACCTTCGGTGGAGATCCCTATGGGGCCACGAAACGCTGTACTGGGTGGGTGAGACGCGGTCAGCAAGGGCTGTGCTGCGTGGTGGCGGACGCATGCGAGCGGTGCCACTGGGACCTTCGGTGGAGCTCCCTATGGGGCCACGAAGCGCTGTACTGGGTGGGTGAAACGCAGGCAGGGAGCAAGGGCTGTGCAGGGTGGTGGCGGACGCATGCGGGCGGTGCCGCTGGGACCTTTGGTGGAGCTCCCTATAGGGCTACGAAGCGCTGTTCTGAGTGGGTGAAGCGCAGGGAACAAGGGCTGTGCTGGGTGGTGGCGGACGCAAGCGGGCAGTGCCACTGGGACCTTTGGTGGAGCCCCCTATGGGGCCACGAAACGTGCAAGGGGTGTGCCAGAATGGGGTGTGGAACCGCATGCCAGCGCAGCCACTGGGGCCTTCGCTGGAGCTCCCTCTGGAGCCACGAGGCGTGTGAGGGGTGTGCCAGAACGGGGGGTGGAACCGCATGCGAGCGCAGCCACTGGGGCCCTCGGTGGAGCTCCCTATGGGGCCACGAGACGTGTGAAGGGCGTGCCGAAAAAGGGAACGGAACCGCATGCGAGCGCAGCCACTGGGGCCTTCGGTGGAGCTCTCTATGGGGCCACGAACCGTGTGAGGGGTGTGCCGGAATGGGGTGTGGAACCGCATGCGGGCGCAGCCACGTGTGAGGGGTGTGCCAGAATGGGTGGTGGAACCGCATGCGGGCGCAGCCACGGCCTTCGGTTGAGCTCCCTATGGGGCCACGAAACGTGTGAGGGGTGTGCCAAAATGGGGGGTGGAACCGCATGCGGGCGCAGCCACTGGGGCCTTCGGTGGAGCTCCCTATGGGGCCACGAAACGTGTGAGGGGTGTGCCAGAATGGGGGGTGGAACCGCATGCGGGCGCAGCCACTGGGGCCTTCGGTGGAGCTCCCTATGGGGCCACGAAACGTGTGAGGGGTGTGCCAGAATGGGGGTGGAACCGCATGCGGGCGCAGCCACTGGGGCCTTCGGTGGAGCTCCCTATGGGGCCACGAAACGTGTGAGGGGTGTGCCAGAATGGGGGGTGGAACCGCATGCGGGCGCAGCCACTGGGGCCTTCGGTGGAGCTCCCTATGGGGCCACGAAACGTGTGAGGGGTGTGCCAGAATGGGGGGTGGAACCGCATGCGGGCGCAGCCACTGGGGCCTTCGGTGGAGCTCCCTATGGGGCCACGAAACGTGTGAGGGGTGTGCCAGAATGGGGGGTGGAACCGCATGCGGGCGCAGCCACTGGGGCCTTCGGTGGAGCTCCCTATGGGGCCACGAAACGTGTGAGGGGTGTGCCAGAATGGGGGGTGGAACCGCATGCGGGCGCAGCCACTGGGGCCTTCGGTGGAGCTCCCTATGGGGCCACGAAACGTGTGAGGGGTGTGCCAGAATGGGTGTGGGAGGGGGAGGAGGGGGGAGGAAGGGGAGGAGGAGGAAGGAGGAGGAAGGAACGCGGGGCGACGTCTCTTCAAAACGAAGACCCAACACCACAGGATGGTTGGGAAAAAACCCTTGGCCCGCGCTCTTTCTGGTAACTAGAAGAGAACTCTGAACCAGAGCCTTCTTTTGGAAAAGTCAACTCGATTCTGCAAAACCAGCGCAGGGCTCGAGACATCCTCGAACTTCCTGCGCGCGGGACGCGCAATCCTCAAGCGGGGACGCGAAAAATCGACTTTTCCATACTTTCAAAGCGGCCCGTCGAAGATTTCAGAGTCTCCATACCTCGTTATCTAATTGGGATTCTGCGCGAAACGTTCCGCACCCTCTTTTTTAGGACGGAAAGCGGAGGTCTGCGGACCCCGTTAGGCAACAAGGATCCGACATGGGGGGCGCATTTTCCTCGAGCGGGCACGCGCGAAACGCATGTTTCCCACGCCGAGTGGGACTTTACCTCGTTATTTATCGCGAATAAGTTCGCCGGCCCGCTTCCCGTCGAAACCGGCGGGAAACAACACTAAAAGAGAACCCTGGGCCCGCGCCCCTTCCCGGAAAAAACACTGTCCAAGTTTAGGCCCCGCACAGTGGAACACTACTAATAAAGACCCCTGGGCCTATTCCTATGCCATTTCTGGGAAGAAGAGAACTCATCACCAGCGATACAGTCCGCCGACCCTGTCGGCGTGTTCCAAGCTCCCCCGCTCGACGCGAACCCACCCGAAACGCAGGCGAGTCGAAGCGCTCCCCCTTCGATCCCTTCCCCGCTGGGGAGGAGGAGGAGGAGGAGGAGGAGGAGGATGAAGAGGAGGAGGAGGAGGAGGAGGAGGAGGAGGAGGAGGAGGAGGAGGAGGAGGGGGAGGAGGAGGAGGAGGAGGAGGAGGAGGAGAAGGAGGAGGAGGGGGAGGAGGAGGAGGAGGAGGAGGAGGGAGGAGGAGGAGTTCCTGGTGTGGCGGGGGTCCAATGGGGTTTTCGGGGACGAGGCATCTCCCCGCCCCGTTCCCCTCCCTGGAGTAAAGGCGACCTTGGGCGCCTACAGTGGAGACCCATGCCAAGAAACACCCCTCTTGCCTCTAGGGTGCCCTGGGTTTCTTGGGTTGCGATGGTTCTGCGATGGAGAGCGTGGCCTTCCCACACCAGAAATCGATTGACGTCCTGGAGTCTCAGGGTTGGGTTTCCTGTGGGAGGTTTCCAGTGGTCGGGCCCCCACTGTAGGCCAACCAGAGCTCTCTCGGGGCTAACCTCGGCACTCTTGGGAGCCTCGCGGGCCGCGCTGGAGGTCCCAGCAGTCAGCCCAAGAGAGCCGAATCGGCTCAATCCCTTTGGTGCTTGTGTGAACTCAACATTATCGCCGCATCGGTATGTGAGAAGCTCCAAAACCCAAGAGGCCCCCAACATGGCCCCAAGCGGGACGCAAACAGTATGCCGCTGTCGCACCGCTGGTCGCCACCCCCTCCAACACGATCCCAAGACCCCACCAAGAAGCCCCAACATGCACCCAGGGCCTCTGGAACACGACCCAGGCGCAATGGCGGGGTGGGCTGGGGACCTTTACACGGCCGCCCTCGCATTTGAGTCGACACTGCCCATCGAACCTTGCCACCGCCCCCCCTTTGGCATCTCTCGCGTCCAAGCTGTTCACTTCTCATTTCGGCGCAGCCTGCCGTAAGGCCTTTGCAATACAGCCAAGTTGATGAAGATGGTCGTCGTTCCCTCCAAATGGCTAGCCTGCTGTGGCTTGCGCGCCCCGCCGGTCGAGGACCAGGGCGGGCCAGCGGGGCCGCCTTGAACACACAACCAGTGGATTTGCAGAGCTCATTCTTCTTCACCTCCCTTTTCATCCATTCCACGTTCCCCTTACATTGTCCTTCTCTCTCCTCAACCCCTCCCAGCAACTCATCATGCTGCTCTCTCACCTTCTCATCGTGGAGGCTCCGCCCTCCATCTCCTTCCTCATCCATCCTCCTCCGCTTCTTCTATCCCTCGCTGTACCGCGTCACAGTCCCGAATTCTATGTGGCCCACTTTCTTGTCATTGCCCACGTAAGCATCAGTATGCCGGCCACCATCTTCTGCACCCAATTCCTCATTACAACCAGTGGTGCGCAGTATACGGGTGATGAAGCGGGGAGGGCGACAAGGAGACGGATGATGCGGCACAGTTGTATGGCGCCCCCTTCTTGTGTATCCTGCGCGGCATCATGCACGACATCATCACCAACATCCATCGCCTACTAGTCGTGAGTGTCGTCATCCCTGCCCCATTCCCTCTTTCGCCCTCCTCTCTCGAATGCTCACCCTTTTCACTCCCGCCTACGCCCGCCCCCGCGCGCTTTATCATACCCACTACATCCCGTTCGGTGTTCATGTAACTATCACCTCTCATCTATAATTTCTCCTGCAAGTAGCATCTCGAACCCCCTCTTCTTGTCTTATGCTTTCTAGGTGTTCAGTGCTCATCTCTGTTGTCGGATGATGGGTAATCAGTTGCTCTCCCTCTCTTCCTCATCTTCTCTCCTGTCTCCCCTGCCATTCCATATTCCTTTCACCTCCAACTCCCTCCTCTTCCCCCTTTTCCTCCTCCCCATCTCCACATCCCATCTCCACCACCCTCCCACTCCTGCTTCCCCTGCCCTTCCTCCTGCGCTCCTCCCACCCCTCCCCCCCTCCTGCTCCGCGTTCGTCTCCCTCCTTCCCCCTCGTCTCCTCTGCGCTTTCTCCTCCGCAGGCCCAGCACGGTCTCGGCCACAGGGACGCAGCGACGGGGCCGCGGAGCCCCGGCAGGCCAAGCGAGGACAGGGATAAGGAGGACGACCGGCAACAGCAGCAGACAAGGAGGGCCAACGGTGCCTCGCTCGGGAGGGGCGGGGGAGGAAGAGGTAAGGAGGCGAACTATTCAGAGCCGAAGCGACGCGGGAGAGTTGGAGGAGAAACAGGAGGAGGAAGAGAAGGAGGAGGAGGAGGAGGAGGAGGAGGATGAAGAAGAGGTGAAAACGGAAGCCTGCGAAGTGGAGAACGAGGAACCCGCGACAAGCAACAATGCACCGAGAAGGGGCCCCGTGTGGCACAAGTAAGAGAAATCATAGACGAAGTGACGACGCGGCAGGGGGGGAGCTGGGAGGGTGGGAGAGGGGACAATGCGAACTTGGCATGACGCACAGGGGTCCTGAGGAAAACGGATTCTAGGCCACTGGGCATTCCCCCAAGACTTGCTCTTCGCCCTCAATCATTCTTTGGCAATCCTGGGGCCTGTGGAGGACCTCAGAAGGCCGAAACAGCGAAAACGCCTCAAGATCCGTTTCCCTCAAGACGCATCTGCCTCACCGCGCCGAACCCTGGCCTTCCTGAGGTGCTGAGAAATAGCCTTCCGGATCTGAGACCATCTTGGCTGCTTGCAAAAATCTCGACTGGGATTTGGATGCCGAGGTCCTGGTGCGACCTTTCAATTGTTGAACCCCCCTGGAAGATCCTGGAACAGGGAGGAGGAGAAGAGAGGAGGAGGAGAAGAGAGGAGGAGGAGAAGAGAGGAGGAGGAGAAGAGAGGAGGAGGAGAAGAGAGGAGGAGGAGGAGGAGGAGGAGGAGGAGGAGGAGGAGGAGGAGGAGGAGGGGGAGGATGAGGAAGCGGAGGAGGAGAAGAGAGGAGGAGGAGGAGAGACGAGGAGGAGGAGAGGAGGAAGAGGAGGAGGAGGAGGAGGAGGAGGAGGAGGAGGGGGAGGAGGAGGAGGAGGAGGAGGAGGAGGAGAGAGAAGGAGGAGAAGGAGAGACGAGGAGGAGGAGGACGAGGACGAGGAGGAGGAGCCGCCGAGGGATGGGGGGAATGCGTGTCGGGCGCCCGCCCAGGCTCTCCGGGGTGCCGGAAGTGCGCGAGCGGCGGCCGCGCGCCGCGCTCCGAGGTGTGGAGCAGCGACCCCTTGCGGGCCAGCAGCGTGCCGCCGAAGTCGGGCGCCCGCCCGGGCCCTCCGGGGCCCGAAGTCCGCGAGCGGCGTCCGCGCGCCGCGCCTCGGGGGGGAGGAGCAAAGGCCCCCCTCTCGGGAGGCAGCAGCGCGCTGCGGCCGGCCCGTACAAGAAGGGCGCCCCCCTGGCCGTGGGTGGCCCGCGGGTGGTGGCAGTGCCGCTCTCGTCGTCGTCGTCGTCGTCGTCGTCGTCGTCGTCGTCGTCGTCGTCGTCGTCATCGTCGTCGTTTGCCATTCGCGAAGGGCGGAGGAAGGGGGCGAGGGGCCTTGGGCGGCCATGTCGACGCCTGGCGAGCGGGGCGCAGCCAGGGAAAGTGGCCAAGGATGGGCCGAAAGGGAAGGGAGCAAGGGCAACCTTGGAGAGTCGCTCATCCTTACTATGCGGGTTGACTGTACCGAAATCGGGATCCGTACAGTAGAGAGACAATAGTGAAAGGGACGCAACTCGTGGACACTTTCGTGTGTGTGGCCATCGTCCGCCCATTTCACAACATGGTCGTCCCACGAACCCGAAAGGAATACAGCAGAAATGTAAGGCATGGCAACGTTTCAAAGACACCTGATCGGGCGACGGGCAAATGCAATGCTGAATGTATCGATCTTGATGTACCGTGCCGAGGGCTGGGCTATGCTGTGCTGCGCCGTGCTGAATTGCGATGTGCCATGCCGCGATCGTGCTCTACAGTGTCGTGGATCGAGGCCTCCTTTGCATCCGAGTCCTGACCGAACTGATCTGGATCTGAAGCTCGAGCTGCCTGAGCACATAGTAGCTGCCCCACAGCTGATTGACAAATGGAACATGCCAAGAGGACGCACCGCGGAACCGTCCCAAGGGACGCGCCAGGCGACGTGCCAGGGGACGTACCATGGGGACGCACCGCGGGACGTGCCAAGGGGACGCGTTACGGAACGTGCCAATGGACGTGCCACGGGACGTGCCAGGGGACGCGCCGCGCGACGTGCCAAGGGGGCTCCCCACGGGACGCGCCACGGAACGTGCCAAGGAACGCGCCAAGCTGCAATGCTGAATGTATCGGTCTTGATGTACCGTGCCGAGGAGTGTGCTGCCCTGCGCCGTGCTGAATTGCGATGTGCCATGCCACAATTGTGCTCTACAGTGTCATGGATTGAGTCCTCCTTCGCATCCGAGTCCTGACCAAACTGATCTGGATCTTAAGCTCGAGCTGTCTGAACACATAGTAGCTGCCCAACAGCTAACTGGCAGGGGAACATGCCAAGAGGACGCGCCGCGGAACGTCCCAAGGGACGCGCCAGGCGATGTGTCAAAGGACGTGCCATGGGGACACACCGCGGGACGTGCCAAAGGAGACGCGCTACAGAACGTGCCGATGGACGTGCCACCTCATGCTAGACATCCGCCTGGGCGAACTGGAAGGGAAAACAAGTGGTTCGCTCGAGACGTCCCCAACACATCTTCATGCCAGACGTCCGTTCCAGGCCCCTAGGAAGGCCCCAGGAGGCCCATGTTAGATACACCTAGGTGGCCTGGACACGTGAAAGCACATGGTTCCGCCATGCTAAATACACCACATGGGCGGCCTGGACACATGAAAACACATGGTTCCAATTCGGGACAATTATATACCCCCTGGGTGGCCTGGACACGTAAACACACGTGGGACCAACTCTGGGCAACCATGTTAGATACACCACCCTTGGGCGGCCTGGACACGTTAACACACGCGACCTTTACTCGGGACAACTATGTTAGATATCCCCCTGGGCGGCTTGGACACGTAAAAACACTTGGTGCCAGCTCGGGGCAATCATGTTAGATACCACCCTGGGCGGTCTGGACACGTGCAAACACATGGTCCAAGCTCGGGACAACCATGTTAGGTATCCCCTGGGGTACCTGAACACGTAAACACACGTGGGACCAGCTCTGGGCAACCATGTTAGATAGCCCCCTGAGAAGCCTGGACACGTTTAAACACGTGGCCCTTGCTCGGGGCAACTATGTTAGATATCCCCCTGGGTGGCCTGGCCACGTAAAAACACGTGGTGGCAATCATGATAGATACCACCCTGGGCGGCCTGGACATGTAAAAACACATGGCTCCAGTTCGGGACACTCATGTTCGATACCCCACTGGGTGACCTGGACGCGTAAACACACGTGGGGCCAGCTCTGAGCAACCATGTTGGTCACACCCCTGGGTGGCCTGGACACGTTAAACACGTGGTCCTGGCTCGGGACAACTATGTTAGATACCCTCCTGGGTGGCCTGCCCATGTAAAAAAAACACGTGGTCCCAGCTCGGGACAATCATGTTAGATATCACCCTGGGCGGCCTGGACACGTGAAATCACATGGTTCAAGCTCGGGACAACCATGTTAGGTATCCCCTGGGTGGCCCCCCTGGGTGGCCCCCCTGGGTGGCCCCCCTGGGTGGCCCCCCTGGGTGGCCTGGCCACGTAAAAACACGTGGTGCCAGTTCGGGGCAATCATATTAGAAACCACCCTGGGCGGCCTGGACACGTAAAAACATGTGGCTCCAGTTCGGGAAATTCATGTTAGAAACCCCACTGGGTGGCCTGGACATGTAAAAACAGTTGGATCCAACTCTGAGCAACCATGTCAGATACACCACTGGGTGGCCTGGACACGTTAAAACACGTGGTCCTGGCTCGGGACAACCATGTTAGATACCCCCCTGTGTGGCCTGGACACGTAACAATTACGCAGCCCCCGCACTCCAAGGGCCACGATCCCTAATAGATTACGCGGCATCGGCGCCACCAGGGCCAAAATCCCTTGCACATTACGCGGCGTCCGCGCTCCCAAAGCAGCGATCCTTCGTAAATGACGCTGGGCTTGCGCTCCCAGAACCCACTGGGCAAGAGACAACCATGTTAGATACCCCCCTGGGTGGCCTGGACACGTAAAAATTACGCAGCCCCCGCACTCCCAGGGCCACGATCCCTAATAGATTACGCGGCATCCGCGCTCCCAAGGCCAGGATCCCTTGTACATTACGCGGCGTCCGCGCTCCCAAAGCCGCGATCCCGCGTAAATTACGCTAGGCTTGCGCTTCCAGAACCCCTGGGCATCCTTGAGCGCCCAGACCCGTCAAATGTTGCAGACCGAGCGGTTCGCTCGAAACATCCCGAGAATTTCGGCGCGCAGGACGCACCATCCTTCAGCGGGCACGCAAAAAGTCTACATTTTCACATTTTGCCTGTCCTGGTCGGGGTTCCAGTCCTAGTTTTTTGAATTCTGCAAGAATTCACCGCACCCTCTTTTCCACGAGGGAAAACGGGTGTCTGCAGACCCCGTTATTGATCGAGGATCCGAGAGGGGTGGCAAACATTCCTCGAGCGGGCACGCGAAAAACGCATTTTGTCAACTGAAATTTCACACTTTACCTCGCAATGTATCGCAGCATGATTCCGCCGGCCCACCTCCCGTCGTCCCCGGGGGGGAAGCCTACCAGAAGAGAACCCTGGGCCCAAGCCCTTTCCAGGAAAAGCAGGACGTCCGCACTTCTGGGTTTAAGTCGGGCCTGTCCCTCTACAGGAGGAAGATTCAAAACATGATCGACCCACGAACCCGGAAAGGAATATAGAAATGTAACGCATGGCAGCGTTTTCAAAGACACCTGACTGGGTGACGGGCACATGCAATGCTGAGTTTATCGATCTTGATGTACCCTGCCGAGGGCTGTGGTGTGCTGCACCGTACTGAGTTGCGGTGTGCTGCCCCAGAGCTAATAGACAGGGGGACATGCCAGGAGGACGCGCCGCGAAACGTCCCAAGGGACGCGCCAGGCGACGTGGCAGGGGACGTGCCATGGGGTCGCACCGCGGGACGTGCCAAGGGGACGCGCTACGGAACGTGCTAATGGATGTGCCACGGCATGTGCCAGGGGCCGCGCCACGCGGCGTGCCAAAGGACGCCCCACGGAACGTGCCAAGGAACGTGCCAGGTTGCAATGCTGAGTGTATCGATCTTGATGTACCCTGCCGAAGGCTGTGCTGTGCTGCGCCGTGCTGAATTGCGATGTGCCATGCCGCGAATGTGCTCTATAGCTTCGTGGATCGAGTCCTCCTTTGCATCCGAGTCCTGACCGAACTGATCTGGACCTGAAGCTCGAGCTGCCTGAGCACATAGTAGCTGCCCCGCAGCTAATTGACAGGGGGACATGCAGGGAGGACGCGCCGCGAAACGTCCCAAGGGACGCGCCAGGCGACGTGCCAGGGGACGTGCCATGGGGACGCACCGCGGGACGTGCCAAAGGGACGCGCTACGGAACGTGCCAATGGACGTGCCACAGGACGTTCCAGGGGAAGCGCCGCGCGACGTGCCAGGGGGACTCGACACAGGACGCGCCACGGAACGTGCCAGGGAACGTGCCAAATTGCAATGCTGAGTGTATCGATCTTGATGTACCGTGCCGAGGGCTGTGCTGTGCTGCACCGTGCTGAATTGCGATGTGCCATGCCGCGAGTGTGCTCTATAGCGTCGTGGATCGAGTCCTCCGTTGCATCCGAGACCTGACCGATCTGAACTGGACCTGAAGCTCGAGCTGCCTGAACACATAGTAGCTGCCCCAGAGCTACTTGACAGGGGGGCATGCCAGGAGGACGCGCCGCGAAACGTCCCAAGGGACGCGCCAGGCGACGTGCCAGGGGACGTGCCATGGGGACGCACCGCGGGACGTGCCAAAGGGACGCGCTACGGAACGTGCCAATGGACGTGCCACAGGACGTGCCAGGGGACGCGCCGCGCGACGTGCCAGGGGGACTCGCCGCAGGACGCGCCACGGAACGTGCCAGGGAACGTGCCACGTTGCAATGCTGAGTGCCTGTGCGACCTAGACACGTGAAAACAAGCGTACCTCTCGAGACATTCGCAACACATCCTCATGCTAGGCATCCGCCTGGGCAACCTTGACACGTGCAAACAAGCATCTCGATCGAGACGTCCTCAACACATCCTCATGCTAGACATCCGCCTGGGCGACGAGGACGCGTGAAACCAAGCGTCTCGCTCGAGACATCCGCAACACATCCTGGCGCTAG